ATCTGTCAACCCCTATTACCCCTATCTGTCAACCCCTATTACCCCTATCTGTCAACCCATATTACCCCTATCTGTCAACCCCTATTATCCCTATTTTGTCAACCCCTATTAGTCAACCCCTATTGACAGCCCCTATCCGTCAACCCCTATTAGTCAACCCCTATTGCACCCCCACTTTAGCTAGCCACCCATCTTGATATATATACCCCCTTCTTCCCACCTCTAGATAGCTCTTACTCATGCTTGCAATTCAATCCTTCAATCATCCAACTCCCTCATCACTTCACATTCACTCTTCACTCCTTTATACTTCTCTCTGATCCTTTGTGGTATTCCTACACTTGATCCCTTCTTCATCATTTATACTTCCCACTACTTGTGGTATCCCCACACTTAGTCTCTTCTACACCCTTATCTTCAACAAGCCTGAACCCTCCTTCTACCAATCCATCCATCTCAGAGAGCAGTTGGTATCCCCAGCTGGGTCCCTCTCACACAAAGGCTTTGAGTATACTCTTCTCATGAAATGACACCTCCTAAGCAATATAGAAGAGGCGGAAGAAGTCGCGCTTAGTGATAGACAAGTGTAACAACGCAGGCCAGTAGGGAAGATGTCCAAAGTAAGTGTGAGTCCACTACAAGGCATATGGGAGTGCTGGGATGTTGAGAACACTAGGATTGAATTCCCTACACCTATAGGTCTTGTACAAAAGGATACAGAAAAACTGCTCTATCTAACAACTGTGTCGGACTGATTAAATATACAGTTTGGAGGGGAATCAGAACTACCCTTGTCTAGGTGACACAGAGGTAGTTAGCAACAGATAAGGAGCGATGTGCAGAAACGGATAGGAGTAACACCACTATTGGAGCTCTTTCGGTTGTAGGCATTACAAAGGCGAGAGTGCAGAGCCATCAGCACAGATGCAAGCCAGTAATGTAATCCACTTGCGATTGCCATCTTGAAGCATGCTCTTGATCTCTCCAGCTTTGTATCTCTGCCTGGAGAACACTCGCTTCATCTTTGACAGCACACCAATCAAGAAGCCCTTCTCATCCATGTTGTAGATGTTGTGTGGTGTTACGATCAAAGGGCAACCCGCACAACACTGAACGAACAGGACCACGCAACGATACAAGAGAAGCCGAAGAACTGTTGTATTGATTGACCCAAGCAGTGGGCCACTGTTGAAGTCGTACTTTAAGCAAAGCTCGTAAGTACTATTCGATTGGTTCTCAAGGATGAACTCTGGTTCTGGAACAGTAGGGGTAAGTTGCCTGGGTGAAACACCTAACGACGGCTTGGGGTAACGATGAGTAGTACAGGCAATCTG